CCTCAGAGCCCAGCCACACTCATTAGCACAACTCCCATTAGACTCAGATGAGCCAAGAACAGCCATATGTTCTTTAAACATATGTGCAGCCATGCAGCTGCCTCTCGCTCCCATTCCAGGCTGGAGGCTACACCGCTGCACCACATACCACTGGAAATCATGGCCGCAGGGTAACGACAGCGGCCCTTCAAAGACCCGGCAGCCTTTTGGAAGGCGGTCAGATACAGCACCCATACACATCATCTCCAACAGGTATGAAGGCAGAGGAAGAGAGGAGCCCAACTCCTGGGGATGCTGACCTCTACAGACCATTAGTTTAGAGATTAATATCCCCGCTCATACTCAAACAGCCACAGATCCCAAGTGCCTCCCTCCTGCTCTGGAATGTTACGTCTACTTGCTCCAATTTTACTACTATTACCAGTTGTTGGGGGCTTCTTTTTTCTATTTCTGACATCCAGAAAAGTTCACTACTTACTATAAACCTCAATGATTAAAAAAATAGTTTTATTTTTTCCAAGAGCAGCTTAGTTTTTACCATGTTTACAGCTGCTGATTCACAGCATCTGTTGATTCCTGTCACATTGAAGAACTTCAGTGCCCACTTCTTCAGCGTTCAAGTATCCTAGCACATTTGACTTTAAAACAGTAGAAAATGTGATTTTTCTGCAATGATGAAGTCTCTAAAGAGTTATACAGTTTACATCCTTAAACTGTGTAAAGATCTATGGCTTTTTAAATGTTGAAATCTAGTTGTTTTTCACACTTGCCATTGGATCCAAGCGACAAGCTTGCATTCTCATGGATGAAAACAGCTTTGAAAAGCTGACCCAAGGGATAAATGATTCATTAACTCTAAGCAGTCTTAAAATTCACATTTATACTTCAAATGCCCCCACTTTTCACTATTTCTGTAGAAATTCATCATATAGAGAAACCTACTTATTCTATGTACTTCTAACATTAGTTTTAATTCAAATACAAGTAACGTCCCTACTTTAAGAGAAAGTCCGTCCCCCCC